GATAAAAAAAACCGTTATATCTTCTGTCTTCCTCATCCGATGAAAGAACAGGACTAAGGCCGACGTAATCGGAATCTTGATCTTCTTCCATAGAACGCAAATGGGCGTGCCGCGCAAAAACCAAAGAACTTTCTTTCCCTGAACCAAGTAGAAGCTAAGCAGAAAAAAAGACAGAAGACAGACGGGAAAGTCATTAAAAAGAGATGTACCTATAAAAATAAAATAAGAGGGTAAATGTTGTGCTAGTGCCATTGGGTGTGAAGAAGCCCAATTTAGGATACTCGCGGTCCAACCCAATTATACAAACTAAACAGCACCGAATTGGGTACATTTTATTTAAAAAATGTGTTATGTAATCTCGTGCAAAAGTAAAATGATTTTGAAATGACTTTTTATATAATGTGTTAGGTAATCCGTAATCTCGTGCAATTTAAAGTAATGTTTTTGAAATAATTTTCTATATAATTTTTTAATTAAATTTATATATTATTTAAATAATTAATTAATTTATTTATTATTTATTATATTTAATATATTCATTTATTTAATAACATAAAATTTTTTTATAAAAAATAATATAAAAAATTATTCATGTAGTACCGCCCCAATTTAAATTGAAAATTGGCTGACTCATATCTCGAACTAAATTAAAATCAATTTAATGTATAGAAAAATTCATCTATATCTTGCGCTTTGCAATTTATTTCTATATGTTGCACTCATATCACATCATTGTGTCGCTCATCAGTATAGAGTTCATAATCGTCGTCGGATCTGGCTGAATAATTATTCCTTTCGTTTTCCTTTTGATCATCAGGTGAATGGAAAGGACTAAGGATTTCTTCACCGTCGTTGGATTTATCAGGTGAACGATCGAAACTGCTATAGCCTTGGTCTTCCTCATCGGATGAAGAACCGGACTACGGCCGAGATGATCGGAATGTTGGCCTTCTTCCATAGACTGTATATGGGTCTGCCGTACAAAAAAAGAACTTTCTTTGCGTTTTCCAGTACTAGAAACTAAGCAGAGAAGAGTGAAGCACGAAGCCGGACGGACAAAAGGGAAAATTATTATGCAGCCCGGAATATCAAATAGCACAAAATGGTAAATGGCTTCTTCCAGCTTAAGTAAGATTTCGAGTTTGAGACCTTGTGAACGCAGCAGTTCTCGCTGAGAGACTCACCTATTATTTTCAGATGCACGACGCGAGTCGGGTCTGAATTAGCCGGCCCCAGACACCAGGCGGAAAACCAAAAAAAAATAAAGAGAGAGAAAGCTAGACGCTGGGCCCTCTTTCATCTCATGGCTCTAGTTGTAATTTAGTGCAATGTAATTTTATTTTATAATTTAATATAATTTTAACGGTGTAAAATTAAAATTAGAGCTTACAAAAAAAAAGATGCATTGATACTATTAATTATATAATTTAATAATAAAATTAATTGTATTCTTAATCATAAATACTAA